GTCAAACTATTGAGAAAGATTCCAGAGCTTGGGTCAACTGTTCGTCAAGCACATCAGGCATAACATCGTTATTCCCCCGATAAACCATCCCGTAATCATGATCATCGGCTGCGGCAGAAAAAGAATCAAAAATGGCATCAAGTTCCTCTGGTGACAATATTTGGTCATCGGAAGGGGAGATGTCAAATTCAGGGGGTGGTAGAGGAGGTTGATCTGGGAATTGTTGAGTCAAGAAATATGGAAATTCGTTATTTCCGATGGTCGTGTTTGTATGTGAATTAATAGACCGATCGTATGACCATGATTCAATGCTTTCTCGTTCGCTCCGATTTACCAGGTTTTGTAATGACGCTGAAAATTCTTGAGGAAAATAATCACCGGTTGAAACACTACTAAAACTATAATGTTTACTTTCCGATAATGCTGATTTTTCAGTTAACGGAGAGGACAGCGAAGAAGTTGAAATGCCGGATGTTGAAATTATATCTTGGGGGAAATTTAAAGATTTAACAGTTGCCATTTTGATAATAAAAAAGGGTATCGTTAGATCAATTGACTTTGAGGGTTAAAATTTTTTTCCTGCTAACTTGTTTATAAATGGATATTAATTCGTATCATAAAGGTATTTTGTATGTACTTAAAGATTAGTCTCAATAATTTTTTTTCTTTGAAAATAATAACGTAATAAGAACAAAATTACTATTTCATTTTTCAATATTGAAAATCTGAGGTAAAGTATCTCTACAACAATAACCGTAGAGATTATGTCAAATGCAACAAGAAGTACAAATCTTTTGGGTGCTCTTTTTATATTTACATACGCCGCAAACCAGTATCACAACAAATAAAGCTATTTGGCTGGAGCTTGCAGGAGTACAAAAGATGGATAAAGGAAAGACTTTTATGGAAACACCAAATTACCGATTTAGGTTGTTACGGATTCGCAGATAATTTCTGAAACATAAAGGCATCCGACTAACTTGTAAAATCCGTACAACAACGGAAAAACTTGTCAAAGTCTTTCTCTTGAAA